TCTCTCATTCTTATTTTTTAAAAATAGCACATATTCCTTTTATAATCAGAAAAATAAGTGGGATCAAAAAAAGCTGACTTGATAAAATCTGGTTAACATACATCTCAGAAATAGTGAGCAAATATTGGGAAAATTATCAAATATTTTCAAAGGCTCAGTCTAAATGATAGACATTCCTCTGGTACTCCCTGCTTTCAGCCAAGATCCATCTAACATTAGCTACAATATCCTTAGTACCATGACCCAGCGTACACTTCTGGTAGTTCTCTATTTATGTGCTGTCCCAGTTGTTTTTAGATAATCTTCAACAGAATCTTGCTTGCATGTGATATTAATGATATTGTTTGATAATTATGTCAGATCAGCTTTCTTTGGAATGGGATCAAATACAGATCTCTTCCAGTCAGTTGGCCAAGTGGTTGTCCTCCAGATTTTTAGGCACAATTTGGTGAGCACATCTAGGGCATGAAATATGTCAATTGGTATACCATCAATTCCTGGGGCCTTATTTTTAACCAATTCTTCTAAAGAAGTTTGAACTTCTTCCTTCATCACCATAGGCTCTTGCTCATATGTTGTTTCATGAAATTCTTCTGTGTTAATTCCTTTTGGTATAATGACTCTGAATACTGTACTCTTTCCATCTTTTTTTAATACTTCCAGGATCATTTAATATTCTGCCCAAAGCATCCGTAACTATTGAACTCGAGGCTTAAATTTCTTCTTCAGTTCTTTGAGCTTAAGAGATGCTGAGCAAGTTCAGCATCTTTGATTTTCTGACTCCAGTTCTTTGCACATTTCATTATAATACTTTGTCTTCCTGCGCTGCCTGTTGAGATCTTCTGTTCAGCTCCTCAATGTCTTGATTTCTTCTCTCTGCTTTTGCTTCTTGGTACTCGTCATGCAATATTCAGAGTCTCTTTTGACATCCATTTTGGTCTTTTCTTTCTCCTCTTCCTGGATTATATTCTTGTTATTTTCCCATGACTGATTTGGTCTTTGCTCATCAGTGTTCAAGGCCTCAAATCTGTTTACAACAAACTGTAGCTAATTCTGAGAAGAATGGGAATCCCAGAAAGCCTGATAGTGCTAATGAAAAACCTATACTTGGACCAGGAGGCAGTTATCAGAACAGAGCAAGGAAACACTGCATGGTTCAAAATTGGGAAGAGTGTATGCCAGGGATGTGTCCTATCTCCAAACCGTTTCAATCTTTATGCAGAACAGATTATCCGGAGGCTGGGCTCTATGAGAAGAAATGTGGCATCAGGATTGGAGGAAGGCTTATTAACAATCTGACTTATGCAGATGACACAACCCTGCTTGGTGAAACTGAGGAGGACCTGAAGCGCTTGCTGCAGAAGGTCAGGGACTGCAGCCTTCAGTATGGATTGGGGCTCAATATCAAGAAAACAAAGATTCTCACCAATGGGCCGATTGGCAGCATCAGGATGGATGGTGGAGAGATTGAGACTGTTTAGTTTGTTTAGCTTTAGTTTGCTTAGCTCCACAATCAACACTTTTGGCACCAGAAGCCAGGAAATTAAAAGACTAATTGCACTGGGAAAGCCTGCAATTTAAAGTACTGAAGAGCAACGATGTCAGTCTGCAGTCTAAGGTGAGCCTGATCCAGGCCATGGTCTTTGCAGTTACTTGCTATGCATCAGAGAGCTGGACAATGACTAGGGGGGACAGAAGGAGAATTGATGCCTTTGAGCTGTGGTGCTGGAGAAGAGTAGTGACTATACCATGGTCTGCTAAGAGAACGAACAGGTTTGTTCTGGAGAGGATGAAGCAAGGCTGCTCCTTGGAGGCAAGGATTCTGAAGCTTCATCTGACATACTTTGGACATGATGCTGCAAGGAAGGACCAGTCCTTGAAGAGGAACGTCATGCTTGGGAGGGTGGAGGGACAGCACAGGAGAGGAAGATCCTCTATGAGGTGGATTGTTTCAGTGACTGGGGTAATGGGGGCAGGTGTGTCAGAGACAATGAGATTGGCACAGGATAGGGCAGGGTTTAGAGCGATTGTACATAGGATCGCTATGAGTCGCAGTGACTTGACGGCACATAACAACAACAGCCGCTTAAATGTAATCATTTTACTTAACAAGATGATGTTTATTTGTTACTGTGCAGTGTAAATGCTTACGTTATAGAATAATGTCACTTGATATAATGGATTTCTATTTTCTAAATTTAAACTAGGAATTTTTAAAAATTGGGCTCCTTCTGAAATATCAAGCCATTGTCATGCTGCAGACTAGCCTCTCTATATTTGACAGTCTACCTTTGATTAGTTAAAAAACAGACAAGAAGAAAACAGACAATATATTGCTAATATATGCATTTAAAAATTCTTTTTTGGGAGTAAAAGACTTAAATTGAGATTCTGGTAATAGAATTTAACAATACTTACCTTAGTTTCAAATAGATGGTTATAGGCTGTAACTAAATGGTCCTTGTTAGCTGTCTTGGCCACATTTTTAATGTTTCCTAATAGCTTATGTTCTGCAAGAAACTATAATGAAAACTGATTAGGCAAAAATAATTTCTCTCAGAAAGAACATAAAATTATGATGTTATTCCTAAGAAAAGGACATCATGCTTCAAAGGGTAATGGGATAGTGATGGAGAAAACCTTCAAGTAGGTGAACTGACAAAGTGATAGCATCAATAGGCTTGAGTGTGTCAGAGATTGTGAGGCAGGCACAGGACAGGACAAGGTTCAGATCTATTGTTCATAGGTTTATAAGTTGTATTTGACTTAATGGCATCTAACAACTATTATCCTAAGGGGCTCTAGTGGGAAAGAGTTGCATTGCCAATGCAAAGGTACACGGTTTGAATTAATCAGCTACTCCCTGGGTAATCTCCTCACAGGTGGTTAAACTGCCTATGAAAATCCACTAGTCAACTATGAGTTGGTTCTGATTCAATGGTACAAAGCAACAACACTACTGTTACACTATAATAAGGGGATACTGCATGGTTTAAAATTAGGAAATGTGTGTACCATGGATTTGGGACCAACTCATAGCTGACCCTTCAGTGGGTTTTCAGAGGCAGTAAGTAAGTACATCGCACTGACTTGATGGCCCATCTTTCTACCAAGAAACATCTGGTAGATTTGCACCACTTGTCTTTGTGTTGATAGAACAATTCCTTATCAGTAGGCTACCAGAGCTTCCCCACTGTTCATTATATTTATCAATGTGCATACTAAGCAAATAATCTGAGAAGCTGAACTACATGAATAATGTGGCACCATGTTTGGAGGAAGACTACTTAACCACTTTAAGTAGTTGACACAAGGGAAGAGGACTTGAGGGACTACTGAAGAAATCAAAGTCCATAGCTTTCAGTATGGATTATACGTCGGTAACTCGTAGTTGCTGTGATGCTAAACACTGTGACACTGATGTGTCAAATGCAATAATGGTGACCCATGGTGAACAATGTCTGGTGGAGCTTTCTGATTAAAACAAGCTTGGAGGCAGGAGTGGCATCCACTTCCAAAATAGCTTGCCTCCGGAAACTCTATGAACTAGGAGAAATGATGAAAGTCATACAAGAATTTAGGTCTTTCGTTCACAGGGTCCCTATGAGTCATCTATGACTCGACGGCACTTAACAACAACAATGTAATTAATCTTCACAACTGTACCCAAAACAACATCATGATTTGATTTTACTTCTGTCCAAAATCAATGCCCATC